CCCCCCCCCCCCCCCCAACACTGTAAAACGTTTATGATATGTGCTGCCAAACAATGAAACATGGGACAAAGTTCGCCAAAAAATAACAATAGTGATCAAAATCATCATCTTCATCAGTTTATCTGTTTGCACTCGCCCGTTCCGACATTCGAGCAAATGTTTATATCCTGGTCTTGCTTATATAACTCAGGACTTCCGTTCGACTGTCTGCGCATTTCTTTAGTATGATAAAGAAGAAATGGAAATGAAATAAAAGAACGGAATTTCAATTAACTACCATGTCTATTCTTCTGTCGAAACACACAATTAACCGCGGTTCGGTGGGTAAATAAACAACTTTTTTTACCGACCAAGTTTTTGCCATTTTGTATATCAAGGAAACACGACAGACACATGAAGGAGTTTGGCTACTAATTTGGCAACGAAAGACCTTTGCACGAAATGTCCAAGTTCTTTTTCTACTTTTTACGTAGTTGTATTTAATAATGCTGTCTGTTATCATGTCTACCTACACACGCACCGACATTCAAGGAAACATAACTTTCTTCTTCAAATAACATATTAATTATTATGCCTTAACATACAGTAAACATTATTTTATATAAAACATAAATAAAATTGATGCAAAAAGAACTTCTGATTTTCAGAAAAGGAAATAGTATCAAATGCAACAGTGAACTATGCTCTATAGACTAGAGTGAACTCTGTAACCTAATTAATTTGTCCGCATTTATTTCAATTCAGTGTAATTGAACTGATATATATAGAGAACTCCTCAATTGATCTGTAGGAGTGAAAAGAAAAACTCAGCCTAATCCTTTTTAATATTTTTAAAACTATGTCGGCTGTGGGCATTTAGTACAAACTGCGTACAATAAAAATAAACATCTGTGTACAAGCGTCGTGGGTAAGGTGTTATTGGGATTATGATATTTTAATTTCTTAATCATTTTCACATTCCACTCCAGGGGAAATCACGTCACATTCAGAATGAGTAATCTTAGGAAGTCGGTTTATCTTTGATGTAAGTCATTTCAGAGAAGTGATAAGTGGGGCTGAGGTATGGTTTTCATTTCGTTGTGAACATATCAAGGTGGCCGATGCAATACAGTGTCAGCATAGCTCCGCAATCAGTGAAAGACTGATTTACAGCTTAACTAAAGGGCCTAAAGACATGCAAGATAGTCCGAGTCCCGACACCTTTGCTACTAACTTCACGAAGGGCCTTCGCTCGAAACGTCGAAGTTCTCCTTGTATTTTTCAGGTAGTTGTACCCTATCAACCGAAGCTTTCTTATTATTGCCACGACCTACACTGATCGTTGAAGATAGCTCGAGGTATTTCACAATAGTGATCATGACTCACGATAAATGTAAGCACGTGGAAACCAGGTTTATTAAACTGTGTTAATGAAATCATTTCAAGAAATTAAAAGTGTCAACAGATATTCTACTTCAAAGTAAGGCATCCTCATATACCGATCAGGGTATGGCCACTTTGAAACGATATCGAAGTTCTTGTATCAATCCAAAGCTTTCTTAAGCCCCGTTTACACTACGCTCAATTTTTGGTACGGCACGGATAAAATTAACCAAAAAGTGGTACGGCACCAAAAATTGAGCGTAGTGTAAACGGGTCTTTAATAGCTAAATAGGTAGTCCAAGAACCAAAAAAGTGGTACGGGTACCAATTTTATCCGTGCCGTACCAAAAATTGAGCGTAGTGTAAACGGGGCTTTATTATTGCCACTACCTAAACACTGCCAAAGACTGTCAGTCAAGGTTAGCCGGGTCATTGATGCTGATTAGCATGCAAGCTAAAAAAGGCAATTATGTTTGTTTGGGATAGGGACCAAGTCCTGCCCACAATACAAAGTTCGCATATTTCCTTGTTCGTTCACCAGGTATTGTGCTCTCATTTATCACGGTAAAGCTTTCGGAAATTAAAAAACCATATCTTACATATAGTATATATAGTTTGCAGTCCTGGCCTGGTTTTGGTAACAAAACGTTCAACACACTCTTATCACACACGGCTTTAACACCCAGCTTGTTGAACGTTAATGGGCTGATAAATCATTTCACAATCCATTTTCGGCAGTAAAAATTTCAACTTCAACCGACAGATAAACTGGGTGCATTTAATGAGCGTTACACTATATATAAATATAGTTTTGTAAAGAATCCGAGACACCCAAATACAAATACATTTTCATTATTAGGGCATTGTGTCTTGGTTAGTTAAACAAAAATATAAGATCTCTCAAACATGAATAAACAGAATAACATGATACACAAGCAGAATTTGGTGATAAGGATTCATATTTCACATTTTTTAAGGGCATGTTTAGATATTTAATGAAATGCTGGCTGCGTGATCAACATTTACTTTGGAGTAAAAGCAATTTCCTGTATGATTGCAGAACAATGTCACGGAAAGCGCGGCTTACTTTTCACCTTCACTTACGGCAATGCAAGGAATTTGACTAATTCAAATGGATCATGTTCAGGAGAACAATTTGTGTTTTTAGTGTGATAGACGTGAACAAAGGAACTTGCAGATGTATATTATCAAAGATTTTATGAACGCTCTTTATTCTCATTCATTTGCATTAGCGAGTTCTGGCTAATACCGCCCCTCCCTGCATGGATCATAATTTAGTGGACAACTTGTGGACAGTGAGACATTCTGAATATTGCCTAGCAATGCAAGCCTTACACACAAATCTCATT